ACACCGGTACCGAGATTTGATCTATGAGTAGGGCAAATTGTAAAATCATCGATATATTTTGGCTTCTCGAAGATGCGGCTCGCGACAAAATAAGGTCAAACAAAAATAAGGTCAACTTCAGTTTCTGGATCTCCGCAGGTAACTTAAAATGTCTTTTTTACAACTACGCAAGGGAACGACCTGAGATATGCAACGTCGGTCTACTCGATATTTATACCCAAAAGTCCTACAAGAGAACGATTTAAATGAACAACAAATCTCCTTGTTAGCATGTAAGATGAGACGCTTATACAACAGATCAGTCGGTTAAACGGTGTGTAGCTTGTCAATCGAATTGACTTTTGTAAACATTCTTTGACTTCCGTCGGCAAAGGAATCATTGATGGGTCTGGACATTTTAGTTTTCAGAATAAAGCAATTCTTGGAAGGTTTTTATAGATATGAAAAGAGAGGAAAAAAACCCATTTCTTGGTAATTCGGAGGTTGATTCATCTTTGAATTTATGTGTCACGCTTTTCATGCAACTAATATAATAATGTGGAGAAGTTCACAAACTGTAAATTAAATCTGGCTAAAATATGGTAGAGCATAACTTGATCACCGAAACAGCTAATAAAATCATAAATAAATAAGATTAGAGGTTATGTTAGATTTCTTCACAAACTATAGTGATTTATGCCAGTAAACGGTGGCGACAAGTAGACACACCATGTATATTTCATAGTCGCTAGAAAGTAAATTTTACCGGACTTTAAGTTCGTCTCAGGATCGATATAACAACACAAATACATAAGGAGATTTTTTCAGTAACTTTATAACCATCCTTTTGTCTTTTAAAAGCTAGAAGCTCAGTAGATTCTGTAATATCGGTCATTGTTAAAACTGTCTCTGTTTTGATGCTACTTTTCGATATAGAAAAAGTATGTCGGACAAAAATATTCACCAAAAGATAAATGTTTCTTTGCCAGCTTCAATAATGACAGGGGATTAAGTTTAGATGATAAAACAAAGGATCATGCCGACAGAAATTCCGGAGGTCAAGTAAATTCGTTACATGAGGTCACACAACTTGGGTAATATTCAGGGTGAAAATTTGCATATTTGAGCGGCTGAACGAAAAATAAAATTTCTCGAAAAATAAAATATGTTTTCACAAAAAAACTACACCACAATTATTAGGACACATTGGGCTACAAAATATGAGAGAAGGAGAGAAAACGAATTTTGGGCGACTTGCCACAATATTTCAAATTTGTACGATGGATGCTGACATCCTCAAGCTATGGGTTATGTAAAGTTATTTAAAATGAAACACCAGTGCCCAAGCCCCAATTATTTACCACAATTGCTCGTTAAAATGACGTCATATATTGGTATGTTAGGGGTTCTGCGATAATTAGTTTCACATCCAAACGTTCTCCCAAAGCCGACGACACGGAAGCTTACCCCGTAGGCAAGAGATAAAACCGTCTCTTAAAACCTGTGGGAAAGCTTTTCTAGTCAATACTGCGCCTTCAACCACCTGTCAGTTGTTCAAAAATGGATTTTACCAGAAGCTCTCCTCAGGGGTATGAAGACGATGATGTGTCAAGCATATCCAAAGATTTCGTGCCATCTCGCCCTGCCTCCCTTTATGGAAAATCGAAAAAGATTAAGGTTGGATTTTGCGAAATTCGTCTATTCTGGGCAAACTTGTTATTTGCTTTTGTCGCCGTAGCCGGCCAAGTCGGTCAGAATGTGTCGCTTCCACTCTGGATCGACTCCGTAAATGGAAATCATTCGGGAAAATCAGTCGACAGTTACTTTGTGCTGTCTTTTGCGAGTTTGTCGTTTGTCATAATATTTGGACTGGGAACGTTGTTCGTTAAAATCTTTTCGCCTCAACATCTCGGAGAAACGGAAAAACGTTTTCCACACCTTCTGCTCTTTTTGGTTGGCCTGTGTGACGCTTTAAACGGAGCTCTGGTTGTATTCGCGAGTAAAGGGTCAAGAACACCGCCATACCTTCAAGCGATTCTTGGAAACTTCCTGATCCCTTTGACTATTTTATTCAGGTGAGTAAATGTTCTGTAATTGAGTTTGATGGCTTCCTGTCCAAATTAAAGGGAGACAGAACGCTATGCAGTTGGCTGTAACGCACACCTGATAATCGCTATTGTGCAACAGCATAATTGAAGCGAAAGATGATAGAATCCAGCTAATGACACAGGCATACTCGGACAAAAAAACTTCGAGAGCTCTCGATTGGGGTTTCGGTTGCTCTTCCACTTACTTTTAGGAGACTTTATAGGTCTGTGGTCACAAACTGCATTTTTCTAGGATAAGAATGTCCATATGTGAAGGCTTCAAATATTTACCATCTTCAGTTGCATCATCAAAGTATTATCGAGTTGTAGGTGTGACAAGTTTTCCTTTGTATTGCATTTCAGTACTAGCTTATGTAACCTTTTTTTTGTTTTGTTAATTCCTTGCGATGACACGAAAAAACTGGTACTGGTTTGATTTGTTTCAAACAAGGCACAATTTGCTGGAAGGGAACTGCCGCAAGGACTTATTTCCACAGAAATTTAATGTGAAGCTTTTATTTGAACTATCTCCTGGCAATCAATTTGAACAAGGAATTTTGGACTTCAAAAATAGGTTTCACAATATCAGAATATGACCCCTTCCTTCTTTTTCTCTTCAAAAAAGAAGATAACTATTATGTGGTTGCTGAAGTATCATTCTCCCTTTAGGAAACACTCATCAGTTATTTATCGCCTGGGTTGGGGTTTCGGAGTTTTTCTTGTGTCACAATAAAATTTACCTGATCTCCCCCATGAGCAGATAAGGCTGGCAGTTCCATCTTTATGCTCAGCTAGCATAGAATGTCACCTCTGCCCTCCCTCCACCCCCTCCCCCTCACCCCCCTCTCCCTCTACACCCCCCCCCCACACGCCCTATTACTCATCAACACTGCTGTTGATTTTTTTTTTCCTGAAGGTTGCTGATTGTTCGAAAGAAGCCCACCCTGCTGAAGTTGTCCTGTGGTGTCATCGTGGTTGTTGGTCTTTTCATTTGCCTCATCCCAACAATTTTTCCCGAAGTTGATCCCAAAGCCGAAAAAAGAAAAAACGATGCTCAGGGTGTTTCCAGAGTAATGTGGCCCATAATTTTCATGCTTGGCTTCGTAAGTGGGACTCAACGTCAAAAAAAGTCGAATTGCAATAGTACTATTTCAATTTTCTGTTATCTAGGCAAGCAATGCGAAATGGTTTGATTCTCGCTAGCTTAAAAGGTGGTATGATACCTTCAAAAAGGGAAATTTTTTACATTATTTGAAACATTT